CGTTCATTTTGTTGATGTCTTTGATTTGATCGCATTGGATGAGCGGAACGAATGCGCTCCAAACTTGTCTCCGTCTTCCTTAAGCGCGCATTTATTCAAATCGTACGAACGGACCGAATGAACATGAATATTTGCCTCATTTTATCTCGCCTTTTACGCTGTGTATCTTCACACAACTGTACTTCTACCTCATTTGAACATCTTCAATTTCCTTCCAGATCACGTATGGGAGTCCACATACCAGTCGGAAAACTACACCTTTCAGCTGATCGCCCAGCTCTACCGCTATCAAGTGTCGAAGGAGCCGATCGAAAGACTCTACCAGGACATTCGAGACTACATAATAATCGACCCGGCCGATCAGAAGCCGACGAAATCGGCTCAAGACATCAAAAACTCTGTTAACAGCTTCTTCGCCTACTTGTTTCCGCTGGCCTACCACCAGCAAGCCGACACAGCGACGGGAGATTTCACTCCCAAGTACAAACAATGCCTGGAAGACAACATGGACATCATCATGCCATTCGGAGACTTTCCCAGTGAAATGGTGGAATCGCTCTCAAAGAGTCTGGAAGCCACTCGACTATTGCTGCAAGCCTTCAGCATTGGCATCGAGGTGTTGAACACCACAGACGCTTTGATCATCGATGAGCAGAGTGCCACTAGCACTGAGTGTCACGCCGCTTTACTGAAGATGACTTACTGCTCCAAGTGTCTGGGATATAGATTCAGTAAGCCCTGCTCCGGCTATTGCCTCAACGTGTTGAGGGGCTGCATCAGCAAATACGTGGCCGAGCTGGATCTTCCCTGGAACAGTTACGTGGAAGGCATCGAGAATCTGGTCAATGCCATGAAGAGGACTTCGAACAATGCCGGGGTCAATGTGGACTTGGCCATTCGGAACCTGGGCACTCAAATCTCCTCGGCCATCATGTATTGCATGGAGAAAATCGTCGAGGTTGATAAAAAGGTAAGCACTTCTGCAATGTTTCTTCCCACTGTTGTTGTTTGATGACGCGATCCTTTGAGCAATCGGTGTTGTAAGGCCGTTGCCTGTAGGGATAGCAGTCAAAACCTAAGCAATTCTCATTTTCTTCCATTCGAATTGTTCTACTTCTCCAGCATCGAGCAAAGCCACAATTAGCATCGACGGAAATATTAATGCCTGGAAAACGGGCTACTTGAATCCAAAGACTGAAAAGAGGCTTTTTCATTTAATGAAACATTTTTCTGTGGCGAAGCGACTTCAAAGGGCCGCCGGAAGCTTCACTCACTGAATTATTAACAGTTCTTTTTCCACTTCCACTTCCAGGTTTAAATAATACACTCGCCTCCTGGCTGATTTTTCAGGTTCGAACACGAAATCGACAAAGTCCTTGACAGTGCAGCAAGAAACCAATCAATTAATCGTTATCGTCAATTAATCAATTAAACGTTTATTTTGCCGAATAGATTCGTTCCGCTTTTTCGAATAATTATGATCGTGATTAGGCTCGGTAATCACTCTAATGATAATGCAATAATTTGTTCAGCTGATAAATCGGCTGAGGTTTCCAATCTGGTCTCAGTGGAAAGCAAATCGATTAATATGTTGGCAATCAATTAGGAACGTACAAGAGTGTTTCGTCAATTTTTCCACCTCGACTGAGCAAATAACGTTAGTGAATTAGACGGGCATGTGACTAACCAACAATGATCAGTTGCGAGCTTTCAAAGGCTATTTGTTGATTACACTCTTGTTTGTTGTTTGTTATCTGTTGCTTTGTATTCCTTTGCTTGGCACTTTTCTTGACTATCAGTGAATCAGGCCTGCCATATGTTCGGTTCATAATGAGGTCAAAGAGTACTGTCCATTGCAATTTCGTGCGAACGCCCATAAGACAGTAAACAATATGCCGTTGAGAAAAATTAATCATCACCAAATCGAGTCATCAGCTCCATATATGGCTGGATTTAACAACAATTTCGATTATTATTAAACCATATGTTTTCTGAGGAGCGGGCAGTTTTACCGCTCGGTGTTTTCACCTAAAAAAATAGCTGACGTGATCTCCATGCGTTGTTTGTCCCTGTATTAATGTTGCCTTTGTTAGGAATGTAAAAAGATTGCGGTTTTTGCTGAAATGAGACCAGTCTGAGTAGGCTTTTTTAATGAAACTGCTGTAGAAACTGGGGCAAACGGTCTTTTTCAACTTTGTTTTTCTGAAACGCTCAATCAATATGGTTATTAACCGGATTTCCCGATCAGCTAACTTTGAGAGCAATCAGGGATTCAACGCCTATTTTTGCTTATATAAGGCAAGGTTTTTGCAGGAGAGAATCTGGCTAATCCTGCCTGCATATTAATTGTTCAATTGCCTTTCCGAAAATGTTGGCAAAAACCATGCAATATTTCCAATCTGAATCAATTGTAAACCTTTGGAGCAATGCGAAGGAAGTGACTACCGAACTATTAGACAATCTCTCAAGGAGGATAAAAAAACAATTAAATAGTTGAAGAACCACATTGCTCATGTATCTGAATATCAGTCATTGTTTTTGCCTTTTCGAACAATTTTGGGCAATGGCTTTTTAATTAGTCGATAATTTTCTATTTGGCTTTGCGCGTTTTTCTATTTCGTGTCTTTTTCCTCATTTTTTCAAAACAATCCCTTTAATATGAACAATTGAATGCTTTCGCGGCCATCGTTTGAAAAAATTGGTTGCCGATAGGCAGTTGAGCCCAAAAACCTCAGAATTTAAACTTCTTTTCTCTCTTTAAACCTGTTATCAAAAAAGTCTACCTCAAAAACCAGATCAAGCTGCGATCTAGAATTTTCAGCAGATTTATAGAAAATATTGAGTAAACGAGAGTAGAAATTGTACAAAAATCCAAACTCCAGCATATTTTTTAAAAACCTGCAAACTTGAGCCTAAAAACACCAAAATTCAACCTCACTCGACTACAACAAAAAAGCCAACTCGAAGCAAATTGCGATCTAAAATTTTCTCCAGTTATATCGAAAATATCGAGCTGGTAGAAATTGTTCAAAAATCCAAAAGCTTACTGATTTTTCAAAAGCTTCGAAATATGGACTTAAAAACTGAAAATTCCTAACTTACCCGCCTCTAAACAAAAAAGTCTAACTCCAAAACCAGAATGAATAGCAACCTGAAATTTTCGCCAGATATAAGGAAACTATTGAGCAAACGAGAGTAGAAATTGTACAAAAATCTAAACTCCTGCACATTTTTTAAAAACCTGTAAACTTGAGCCTAAAAACACCAAAATTCAACCTTACTCGCCTACAACAAAAAAGCCAAATCAAAACCCAGAGGAGGTGGCGATCTCAAATTTTGAGCAGACTTATAGAAACTAGCAAGGAAAAAATAGTAAAAATGCAAAAAAAACCGAAATGCCTGCTGATTTTTCAAAAGCTTCGAAATATGGACTTAAAAACTGAAAATTCCTAACTTACCTGCCTCCAAACAAAAAACTCTAACTCCGAAACCAGAATGAATAGCAACTTGAAGTTTTCGCCAGATATAAGGAAACTATTGAGCAAACGAGAGTAGACATTGTCCAAAAATCCAAATTCCTGCATATTTTTAAAAATCGTTTAAACTTGAGCCTACAAACACCAAAAAACAGACTTATAGAAACTAGCAAGCAAAAAATAGTAAAAATGCCAAAAAAAAACGAAATGCCTGCTGATTTTTCAAAAGCTCGCAAACTTAAGTCTAGGAACATCAAAATGCAAACTTTCCGTCTGTAAACAAAAAATTCTAACTCAGAAACCTGAAGAGGCGGCGATCTGAAATTTTAACCAGATATATGGAAAATATTGAGCAACAGATTATAGAAATTTTTTCTAAGTTTGAAGAAAAAGCTTTCAAATTTACAAAAGGATTTAAAAATACCAAAACTCCCGCCTATAAACAAAAAATTCTAACTTAAAACCCAGCCCAAGTGACAATCTGAAATTTTCAGCAGATTTATAGAAGCCATGAAGGAAAAAGTAGGAGAAATTTTCTCCTAAAGAAATAGGAGAAAAAGTGTCTGCGGATTTTTTAAAAGCTTGCAAACTTGAGTCTGGAAACATAAAAATTCAAACTTTCCAATAATTCAAATGACTGCTGATTTTTAAACAGCTTTCAAACTTGGACTTAAAATCACAAAATTGCTCGTCTAGAATCGAAAAAATATAACTTAAAAGCCCCGAGCAGGTAGCCATCTGACATTTTAGGCCGATATTTGGAAAATATTGAGTAAACGATGGTAGAAATTGTAGAAAAATCCAAGCTCTAGATGATTTTTTAAAAGCTTACAAATATGGACGTTAAAATAGCCAAAATGAATTATATTATCATTTAACCTAATTATGATTTATTACCTTATATTTTTTGTAATAAAAATGATCAAAAATATTCAAACCCTGCCTGATGCATCACTTTTTAATGAAGTGTTCAATTAAACTAAGATTTTATCGACTCGACCGAGCAGTTCCATTTCAATGGATTAACAATGTTTTAATGAAAATGTGTGTCATACTCTAACGAATTATGTCAACTGAAATGGAACGCTCATGTGATATTTATTGTATAAATGTATGTTCCTCACATAAACGCGGTAGTTTAATCCGCGATGAAAACGTGCATGTGACAATTGTTTTATTCAGTCAGTGCCTATTTCACTTTCAGCTTTTGAATTAGCTAAACTTTACGGTCCATCATCCAATGTTTAGCTTTTTTTTTTTTACTTTAAATAAATCATCAGACATTGAACTTCCAACAGCCACATAATTGCATGTTTTCCTTGTTGTTCTTCTGATAAATGAATCGGCACTTACGGCAACATAGCGGGGCAATATTTCGCGTAGAAGAAACCGTCCGTTATCGAGCCATGCAACGCAATTACGGCAACAATAACCCCGGAAATGCGAACATTATAAATTTGGAAACTTCTTTCGACTTGTTCCCCGATGCATGTTATTACCCGCCATAAAGCACACTACTGGCTACGACAATAACAATTTTATCAGTGCGGAATAAAGTACGGGCTTTATTAAGCTCTAAAGCAGCTTTCCGGCATATGCCACCGGAATCGTCTGGCTGGGCTTTAAAGCTTTCGGGATTTTCGAATCGAGTTTCGTTTGTACCAATTTCATGTATCGCGTATTGTGCGATCTCATACCAGTTGCCTGAGCGATCACCGCTGAGGATGCAAGTCGCTCATGCTAGCGAAACGTGCGAAGAAACTCTTTCGTCATTCGTCGTTCGCTTCACAAATTGAATCGGCTCAAAAGGCATTAGGCGTAACGCTGAATGCTCACACAAATCCCAAAGCCAATATTTAGTCAAGTATTGTTTTACCCATCAATGTGGCACAGCCAATTCCATTAGAAGTGTTTTTCTTTGTTATCTCAACGATAGAATGGTGTTGTTTCGCGACGGCAACAAATCCCACTGCAAATGTTGCCTGGTTTCAGTAGAATTTTTGTTTATTTTTAGTTTAGTCACCTAAAGTGACTGTTTATCGACCAAATAAATTGATCAAGGTATTTCTTTTTTTGACTGTAGAAATCTCCCTAATCTGGCGCCGAAAAAGCGAAAATCATCGGCAATAAAATGCAAATTCCCACCTACGAAAAGTCGTTCCCTATTAAAAACGGCGGAATATTTCTACCTGATTCGTTAGCGGCCATCCAAGGAATTTCGCCCAGATCCTTATCCGATCAGTCCGGGTAATAAGTTGGTTAGTGAGATGTCGGCAAAGTGCAAATTTATGGCACCAGCCCAGACGAATCGCACAAAAGACGTTGCTGGTAGGTGTGTGGCATTAAATGTGGCTAAACGTCGATACGAAACGGGTTCAACTCGTTTATCAGGGAATTGAATCGCAATTGAAATGCTTCTGGATGACATTGATTCACTTTGCTCTGGAACGAATGAGAAACCTGTTGAAACACGAATGGATGAGGTTGAAGCTGATTTCCCAGATCACTCAGAAGTGGAGACTTTGCAAGCAATTTGCTGGTTTTGTGAAGAAACTGATAAGTTTCGTTGTGGAATAAAAGTTCTTTCTGGAAGTTTCGCTAACACACATGGCTGGCTCTTCAGAGGTGTGGGTTAAGTTGGGTGAAGAAAAACAAGGTTCTAGAAAATCTGGATTGTTCGTAATTTGAGTGAAACTCTGAAGGCTTTTTAGATTCAAATGTTTTCTGTGGGTTAGAGGAATTTGATTTTACTGATGATTCAGAATTAATAGTTTTCAAGGTTTGAACCTTTAAAAACTATCCAGTCGTCAGAATTCGATCATATTAGGCGCATAATTTGCAAATTGGTCAAAAATCAGTATTCGGTGCGATTTCAATGAAAATTTTATGATGTCCAGAGACTAATTATTTCTACAGTTTTAAATGACACTGCAGTTGTTAGAAATCCATAATTTTTTGACCAAAATTTCTTAAACTGCTGAAAATCAGAATTATGTGCTATTTGAACGAAGCTTTCAAGCTTTTTATATTGAAATATGAGACTGTGAAAATTTCAAGTTAATACTTTTTCTAGGTTTCAAGCTACAACTTGTTGAAGTCAGCAATGGCATAATTTTTCCACAAGAATTTGCAAAATCGAAAAATTCGGATTTCATGCATTTTCAGTGAAACTCTCGTGTAGTTGAGATTCGGGTGTCTTCGACAAATTGTGAAAATTTCAAGTTGATACCTCACATTTTTTGAAAGTTTCAGATTTTTAAAGAAAACCCCTGTTTGTCATTTTTAAACATAAGTTTGTATAGCGGCCAAAACTCGGAATTTCGGACGATTCTAATGAAAGTTACAGGATTGTCAGCTACAAATGTTTTTTATAAAGAGATAAATTTTCAAGCTAATACCTCTTTTATAGTGAAAGGTACGTAATTTTAAAGCAAACCAAGCAGTTGCATTAAGATACTGCAGCTGCGTGAAAACTTCCGTTTTTGCAAAGTTGCCAAACATAAATATTCAGTGCGATTTTGTCAAAGTTTACAGATCCAAGTGTCTTCTATCGACGGTAAAAATTTCATCTGAAAACTTTCTCCAGAGCGAAACTTTTCGACCAGAAGTTGTAAAAAATATCAGCAATTAGTGGGACTTGATTGGAACGTTCACACATTTCAAATTAAAATGTCTGCTATCGACTGTGAAAAATTCAAGTTAAGGCTTCGTCTAGATCAAGTTTCGAATTAAAAACAACCAGTAGGTTCAGTTGCGTATAATCAGTCATTTTTAAATATAAATTTGTAAAATTGGCAAGACTCGGAATTTCGTGCGATTCTAATGAAAGTTTGCAAATGTGTTCTGTAAAGAGTGAAACTTTCAAGTTAATACTTGTTTTATAGTGAAAGTTACGTAACTTTAAAGTCTTTAAGTTGCCAAAAACAAGGATTTGGTGCCATTTCAACAAAAATCTGCAGAACCAAGTGTCTTCTATCGATGGTGAAGATTTTATGTCGTTACTTTCTCCAGAGTGAAAATGATAATTAAAAAAAACAATGGACTTATGTGAAAACAGGAATTTTTCGACCAGAAGTTGTAAAGTTAAAAAATATAAAAAAGTGTAATAAAAATTCAGCATTCAATGGGAGTTGATTGAAACTTTCAGACATTTCAGACTCAAATGTCCACTGTCGACTGTGAAAAATTCAAGTTAAGGCTTCGTCAAGAATTGAAAATTGCGAATTTTTAAAGATCGTGCTGCACTTGCAGAACATTAATTCAAATTCATTCTGAGATTGGGTGAAAGCGGCTTGAAAAATCGATATTTGGTGCATTTTCAATCAAATTCTCACTCTGTTAATTTACAATTTTCTGCACAGGCTGAAAAAATCAAGTCGTAGAAGGAAACCAAGAGCTGCGACTAGACAGACAGTCATTTAATTCGACAATGCAATATTTCGTTTTCTTTTGAGCTTTCCAGTACCTCTTTGAGCCTCCTTCTATTTTATTTTCTGCCTTAAACTTTCCCTAATAATTCCGATATTCCCAAACCTTTCAATCGGTGCACCGCTTATGAATAATAATTAACTTGTTTGCTTTTAAGCACAACAACTCCATGAAGATTGCTTTTATGCAAATATAATAAAGCGATCAGTGTGCAAATTACTCGCTTGCCATTGCTGGAAGATTCACTTATGCAAACGCAAAGTATTTAGTTTTTAATTAGATTTCGCCATATTCACCGAGTGAAGTGGCCATTGACTTTGATTAGAGTCATTCTAGGCCCGATGATTCACCTCAGTAAATAATGCTGCAGGTAGAGGTAGGTATAGATTTTAAATATATCGGTTCTTGTTTAGTCCGCTAAGTGCAGGAAGTCATTAACTGTGCAGGAAAAGCAAATATTTTCCTTCCTATCAAAAAATCCGCGGCTATGGAAACAAAAACAGCTCAAAGGAAAGCGGCGAACTTCATTTGAAAGCCCCTGCTGAAAAGAACAAATAAAAATTATGTTTGTCCGGAATAAATTATGTAAATTTCTTAAACGCTCTGTTTTATTTTAATATTAAACTGATGGGCAACACGCAAATTCTCTACAGTGTTGAATTGCATGGAATTCCAAGTAACTTCTTTAGGGGGCGATTGAAATCTGCAACGGATTTGAAGTTTTCCTTTCTAATAAAATTTTAATTAAAAGCTCACTCCGGACATTGCCAGGTACTGCATTGGAAACTTGCCGGCCGCCGCATTACTTTTATTGGCAAAGTAAATGTGCTGGGAAACTAGTTTAAGTTTAAATTACTTAAAGGAGGCGTGAGGAAGGATCCGAGCCGAATTTACTTAGATTTTAGCTGGTAATTGCTTTCAGGTTGCCAATGTTATACTTAATTTCGTTCTACACACAACTGATGCGGTTTTTTACGTGTTGGAAAGTTTGAAATTGACGCGAACCACTGAAACTCTTGACTGTTCAACGGGGAAAAGAACTGAAATAAGTTGCGGCCGCTAAACAGAAAACATCAAGTCGGAATTCAGTAAAAAAGCAATAACAAATCCCCATTCAGGCTGACGATATAATTAAATTTTATTTACTAGCTCCGATTGTAAAATCTGCTTCTTTGGTGCAATATATTCCATTCAGTGCAGTGAAGACGACTCGGCTCCAGCAACAGTAATTTATATCTCTTTGATAAAAACTGAGCGAGCTACACTATATATTCGTAAGCCACATTCGAGTCATGATTTATCGCCGGTCGATTCGTACTTCTTTGGAAAATTACAACTGCGAATTTATACTATATGGGCTTTTTGGACAGTTTGCACAATAATTTATTGCTATGGTAAAAGTTCTTCGCGAATCACCAACGTCTTCTGGAGTTTTCTCGGAAGTTATCGCATTCCCCACATTTTCAATGCAGCTTCAAACTATCCAAGCCAAGCCAAAGCATTGTACAGGGTTGTCCATTTTATGCTTGGAAAGGTAAAGTGAAAAAACACCTTGCCCAATATACGTGAACAACAATATCATTTAAATGTCTTCCCCGCGTTAAACTATCCATATTCCAAAATGGCAAATCTCTGCTTGGGTGTTGGTTCTTCTGGACTACCTACAAAGTTAGCCAATTGTTTCACAATGACGAAATTAGATCAGAAGGGAACGATTATTCATTGGCAATGTATTGAGCCAACTAGTAGGCTGCAGATGATGGATAGTGGTCTTAAGATACCGAAATAAATGGATCGTCATTGTCAATTTCTCCGTTGAAAAATTCCAAATTAAAAGCGTCGGCGTGAGGCTTGAGCGATCCCACGGATGTTGCATTTATTTTCTCTTGGAGAAACATTAAACTGACACCTCATAAAATAATAACAAGGGACTCTTCACCTCATGTGGGTGCCTGGGTGAGGTTCCCGACTGGGATTGTCGGCTCGGTAAAGCAGAAAATTACGATCATCTACTAAGTAGTGGTTCAATTAAAATGAACATGTTGGTTCCACAATGGAAATATGATTACGTCTTGAGCCACGATTACTTTAACAAGATGTAAGTCAGACAACGGCAGAAAATCCAACTTTTACCGGAAATTCCATACAAAATTCGTATTTTGTTTGGGCTTTTTTCGCTGCTCCCCAGTCGCCATTCGCATTGATACGTGAATAATATCAGAGCTTTTCGTTCTGCTTAATTTCGCTCGAATATCTGGTTTTTTTCCTCGCAACAGAAGAATATCCCCGGTATGCCAAAATGGGCGACGGGCTCTTTGATATCGAAAAACGTAAAAAAAAATCGATTTCAGTCCACATGCTTTTGCAATGAAGCTGAAATTTGTTGTTCTCAAACCCAACCTTTCGGCTCTCTCCGCATTCGTTCAAGGTTTATTTAAATGTGTGCAGTGATCGACATTCCTTCATTCGGATATACCGATTTAGTTGCTTGATTGAATTAGGCGATCTTTTTTTGTATTTTTTTTTCAGGGGGTTGCTAGAAGATTTTTATATTTTTTTCCGAGTACAATAATAAGTGCAGTCAATCGAAGAATCTTGATGGAACCACATTTGCGACTTTGGCTGAAGTTTCTGAACCTGATTAACGCGTGATAGCAGGAGAGCGCAATTTTTCAAGAAAAGTCAATTTTCTTCGCCAACTTTAGAAGTGAACTGTTTCTTTGACTTGAGGATTTATTTTTTATCATGGTAATCTTACTGACGGAACTGGTTAGCTTTTAGGGCGTCGTCCAAAACTTTCCAACGTTTCGCTATCACGAGTGGTTTTAATCTCACGTTCTTGTAACGAAAACAGAAACTGGGTAGTTTTTCCAGTTGTCAGGTCATCGTGAAAAATAATTTCTTTTTGGCAAGCACGAATGTTTGCTTCGGGCGACACACTCTGAAGATGCAAGCCACTCCTGTTTGCGAAACGTCAGGAAGAAATTATCTGCCAAAACGACCTAAAAGCCCCCCAAAAAGGCATGAGTTTCAAGTAATCGCAGTGAAAGGACTCGGTGTGAAAAGTTACCTAATAGTTAATTTCTCAATAAAATCGGTTAATTTTCGCAACTTTTGGTCGTGGGAGCCAAAATAATGTTGAAATTGTTTCTCAGATTGTGCACCCTTAAACGCACCCTTAACGGAAAGTAATGTTTCGCATGAACTTTGCTCAGGAATGCAAACCTGCATTTGCCAGGAGATTCTCATCCGGCTGATCCGATTGAATCTGATTAATCAACTGACTATTCCCAATAGTAATGTCTGATCGATTCATCAAAAAGTGTAGAAGAATAGTGGGATAAGGGCTGACGTGAAATCTACCTGTTATACGAAAAAGCGCTCATTCATACGACTTGTTTGCGTACACTTCAACAGTGCCGCTAATAGTTCTTGGGGGTTTTATTCCGCACAATTCCCAGTCCCCGTCCGGTAATCTTCCTAGTCAGGCTGAGCTCATAAGAGGATGATGCAAAGTGGAGAACGGGTTTATCCTGCGTTATATTAAAAGAATATGCTAATCGGAATCGATATAAGGACAAAGTCGAAAGGCCCAACTATTGCAACAGCAGAATCAACTACATAAAATAAATAAATAAATAAATCGAACATGGGGCAGGGCTCGTATCAGTTTTGCACATAAAACGTCGAAAAAGTGAATGCGAACGCTATCGGGTGAAAAACAGCCTCCACACGATACGAACATTATTCAGCGGATGAATAATGTGTTTGTATTAAACTAGCGAAAGGCGTTTCACAAATCAGTGGAAATCACTGGAAGAAAAATGGCGTTTTGAGCTTTTTGATGTGTTTGCAACGTGAGAATTTATTCGATACCTTTTACGCGCGCAAAATACATCGCAACCCCTATTAATTCTCATCCCGTCGCTGTTTATTCGAAAAATAGCATTTTTTCCTCGTCGTCATTCATTTGGACGACAATTTGTGCTGCTCGTTCAAAACGCCGTATGTAATTTGTTAGGTAAACAGCATTTTGATGGGGAAAATTCAAATTTTGCCACCAAAAAATTAGTAAGAAATGCAGTGTTGATGTTATTCATATTTGTTTGCCTCTATCGTCTAAGTAAATCCAGATTTTGTGAGTGCTTTCGAAAAATATTTGGCCACCGTGTATGTGAGTCGTCTCTGTGATTAAGTCGTTTGGTTCCGGTTAATTCACCATTCCAGTAAGTTTTTGGCAAAAATCCCGAATAAAACACAAGCAGCAAGAGCTAAAGCGGCCGTAAAGCTTTTTATTAACATGATAAATCTTATGGGATGATTCCGCCGCTTTAACATAAATCAGCTCTAAAGACTTTTCGGGAGCACCAGATTCACCGTTGAATTAAAATATTGGAAACTGGAATTATACAGTTGAATCGTTCGCAATTTATTCCTGGCTCGTTAATATTAAAAGAACGAACGAGAGTTATTCAAATGCCCGGCCGATTTTAGTCCAGTGTTGAGTGTTTGAAGGGGAAGTTTTTTTGTGAATTTTCCCTCTGATTAGGGCAGAAGACGTGGTAGCAAAGGTTTGTTCAACTTGGGGGGTTTTTGATCAATATCGCGAATTAATTAGCGGCTCTATATCAAAACGGCAAATAATTTACAGAGCTTTATTTGCAGCCAAGTCCCTATTCGGGTCCCCTATCAATTAGCTTGCCAGCTCATTCTAATACTCCATGTGGAATATTAATTAGCAGACATTCCCAGTGGAAGTTATTGCGTAATATCTACGTGCGCACGATTATTAATTAACTGAATTTATTTGCTTCAATTAGTTCCTCGAGCCTTCCGCAACACGAAGACGATACTAACGGATAATCGGCTGCGTCTGCAACTTGCTGGTGCGTGTAGTATATGATTAACATGGCGCCTACCATTATGAAGATATTAACTTTCCGTTAAAAAAATCATTTACCATTTACAACCCGTCAAGATCTCAACACTTGCAATCGGAGGAATCAAGTTTCGAATAAACTAAGGGCAAGAAGAGGTTTCAAGTTTGGCCTGCCGACAGGCCACTTGCAACGTCCAGGAAGTCTTTCGATCGTTCGATTTTTCTGCGCTTTCCGCCATTCCCATAAGCCGGAGCAATGCAGGAAAAAACCGTCTTCGTATGCTGGTAGCGGAAACGATTTTCCCGGACTGAAGAAGAAAAAGAAAACTGAACGAAGACGAGTTAGAGACGTCGTCTATGGGTGTTCAGACAGTATTTCCTTTGCGCCATGGGCATAGGCAAGGTGCCGCTCCCATGCAATCCGCAATAATCACATGGAAATTATCAGATTAACTATAACAGTTTCACTAACTGGTCATTTTTCACACGCGCATTCAGGCGGCTTCCGCCTGAAGACGGAAGATTGATGATGAATAATGAGAATTTGGCTTTTTTATGTCCGCTTTTTGCTATCTGAATCTAATTTGTATACGTAATCGAATTTCTTTAGAAACATTTCCAGTTTATAGAAGTGTTTTGACTATCGTGATTTGTAGACGGATTTTTAATATACGAAACACCAAACAGCTGGATGTCGACAAACGATCAGAACTTTTCCTTTGGTTGATGGAATGAACTGATTTTTTTTAAGTTGTTGAACTCATACTTTGTTGACTTTTTTGGGCTGTGAAAAATATTGAATCGATCATGGTTTTTGCGCAAAAAATATTTTTTGCCATCTAAAATTTTCAGGCATTAACTGTAAATCTGGTAGTAAGCGATAATTTTCTGGTCAAGCGTTTTGGAAACGTTTTCGTCCGAATTGCGTTCCCCAAGAGCAATTAATTGTAAGCTTAAAGAGCTTTAAAAGCAACAATTTAATGAAAGAGCAAGTTTCGTTAGAATCCATCTGAACACGCCTCCGATATTACAAAAAACTTAATGTAAGTTTTGTTAATGTAAAAAAACGTCTAAAATTGCCATTTGGCAAGAGCTTAAAGCTGAAATATTTTTTGCGCAAAAGCTATGAATGCTAAAAGATTTTACAAAGAGGACAAAAACGTCAAAAGAGGATCAGTGCATCAACTCAAAAAAAGTCAGTTGATTCCAGCTACCAAATAAAAAGTTCTGGTAATGTTTGTTCCAAGACAACCAAGAATTCCTCAGTTGCCCAAAGCCGTGAAACTCACTTAGGTCTAATCTCTTAAGTCGAATAGAAGAACAAATTCACAGCGAGTTTCATTAAAATCCATCGAACCCTTCTCCCGGTATTTCAAAAACATAATTTTTTTAAGAACTTTGACCGTTAACAGCAGGGAATGCGGAAATTTTTCTTAATAAAAAGTTATGTCCAAACGTCTTCTTTTGAGCCGAAAAAGTCGCTTTTGGTCTTGTGCTTACGAGACATCCAGTCTTTTCGACCATTGCTTTATTACATATCAGAAGCATGTTCAGGATTGGTTAAATGTAGCCCTGTAGCCGCCCAATGGATATCAATGGATGAAAGATCGGGGCATTTTGCTGGCCAATGGGAGAAAGTGATGTTTATTTCCACATTCGTAAAGTTTCGGATGCGAGGAACGCCCTCTTTTCAATCGACGAGAAAAAACGCGAGGAGATTCTGCTTTTTTAAAAATTAACCAACAAGCAGGGTTTGAGAGAAAAAAGCTTTGGAATTAGAACTTCTTTACTACCCGAAAATGTCAGTCTTCCACAAGCATTTTTAAAATGCCAAAATGTATTTCAAGTCCCAGATTAATTTTTGTCTAAGATTAAGCACTAATAGTTGGTCAATTGACCAATGAAGTTGAAAGAGCATCTTCAAGACCCAATATCTCCGAAAAATTAACTCCATTTCATCATTCCATGTAAGCCCCAATATCTGTGGCCAAAATTGAATCGCCCTGTATTGGAAAAAAACTGCTGAAACCCCACCTTGTGGTGACGAATCGCAGCCCTATTCGGCTACTGAATTGTCGACAAGAGGCTGATGTGACTCCTACACGATTTGTCAAATTAATGGCCCCCCATTAGCTACGGCAGAAACGTTACTATGTTGATGAGAAGGATGGGCCATAATAATCCCATAACAGCCACTCGAGCCATTACCATAGAGGAATGCCGTAATCTGTGCATTAAAAACATAAAACCTCGCAGTCTCCTGAAAATCGTTTACCAAAACCGGCATTTTCTCCTAATGTTTGCTGTATGAATAGAATGTTAAGACAACGGTTAGTGATAAAATCTCATAGATCTCACCCACGTTCGATGGGGAAACAACACGTCCACATCTGATTTGCATAAGGCGCCGGATGGTAAAAAGCGCCAACAGAAATAAACAAACGAAAAATAAATTGAGAAACTTCTATGGGCTATAAATTATCGAAATCTATTAGCGCGGTAATAAAATATATTCTGCCGCGTTCACCCATCGGCATTGTATGGAAATGGCTTGGGCGCTTATTACTTTTAAGTATTATTTTCTTTTCTTTTAAGGCGAAGCCATGAGCCTTTAACCGCATATATGGTATACGACCTTTAAGTGCCAACTATTTATCATATTCGGGCGCTGCGTTTCGCAAAAACCGGCCTGTAATGCAAAATTGTTCTTTCGCACATGCAATTAATCATTTCGACTGATTATTGTCTCTGAATTTCAATTATTTTTTTCTCGTGCTTGGTCTATCAAAGCCGATCATCTAGTTGGCTACTGTTAAACAGTTGCCTTAGTTAACATTAATCAAATGTGACAGCGGGCATTTGTTTACTGGACAGCAGACAACTAGATTTTTCWCACCAATGKYKCCTATTGGTTGTACTAGAGCGACTCACGTCACTTAAATGTCAAATAAATTGGCCTTTAAAGAAAACAGTGGCTGTCCAAGTTAAAAATAAATCGTCTTTTTACTTTGTCTAAGAAATTACTATCAAACATAGAGTTTCATCTCACATATGCCGGTCATTTACATTTACAAACTCGTTTCGCCTCTTTCACTTCGGCGTTCTTCCCTTATAAGTTTCCAACATCCTGACATTCGAGTAGTTAAAGAGCTATTCATATATATATATATAT